GAGCTTCAAAGTGTTTCATATATTTTTCTTTGAATTAATTTAATTCTTCACCGTTTTCTGCCTTTTTTAACCTCCTCTTCATGTTTCTTTCTCATTGCCTCCATTTTTTTCTTCTGCGTTTTCTCTTTCTTTTTTCTGCTCTTCCTTGAAGTTCCTTCTCATTTAATCTTTTAGTTTGTTTGTTTTCCTATTTTTCCTCTTTCCTTTTCATATTCTTCTTGAAGCTTTCAACATTTTTCTTCCTGTTCCTGATGCCTCTCTTCATCTTCCTGTTGTTGTTTGTCTTCTTTTCTTCTCCAAGACTACTTCTTCTTCATTCATCTCTTTCCTGCTCTGCTTCTTTTCTCTTGATTCTGACTTGATTTTTTCTCCAGAGCTTCTCATTCTTGTTCCCACTGCTGTCGCTGACGTTCTTCCTGCTCTCTCGTTTTCCTGTCTTTTTCTTCTCTAATTTTGCAACCCAGTTTCATAAGCATACCTACCAGGGATTGCACTTGTAGAACAAACTTCTCAAAGGCTACAGTGTCACATCGCTGAATGTCAAGCAAATCCATAACACTGGTAATCCTGTTCTGGTGTGGCTGACTGAATTTCTCATTTAGTACCTCTAAGGTGTTAAAATATTGAGTAGCGTATTTAGGGTACGACTCAGCAACAAGTCTAGCCTCGTCCACTTTGAAATGGTCAACCAAGATCTAGTATTTGAAGAGTTGAGCTGTGTCTGGAGGTAGTAGTTTGGTCAAGCCTGTCTTTAGCTTTAGCTAACTCAATAGTATCCAATGAGTAAAGTAGGGGATGCTTGGCCTTTGACCTCTATAGGCTGCCTCTGCAACTGTAATAGGGTTATAGTAGGGTTCTGACACTGGTGATGACTCTTTCCACCTAGTCCCTCATAGTGGTAAAGTGTCAGTATATATAGGGGATACTGCAACTGCTCTTGCTCTTGACGAAAGCGGTCGCACTTTTCTCCTCTTCCTCCTCTCCCTTAGCTTTCCTGCTTATGTCCTTGTCTAGTCTCGTGTTTTTTATTGCTTTTCCCTGGAACACTCTCTCACACTCTGTTCTCTAAAACCTAAAAGAGGAATTATGGATTGGATCAACTGGTCCCTAAATGCAATTGACACCACTTTCTCAACGAGAAGTTTGGGCCTGAGTGCTGAAGATATCTACCTATTCTGAACCATGGTAACAGGGTTCTGGCTGATCAGAGCTGGCTTGGCCCTGACTTATCGAAGAATTAAGAAAGTGGAACCGGCTGTTCAAACCCCCACAAGGCTGCCCACTGGGATTGTAACGATGGGAGAGGCGTGACTTTCTCAAAATGGGCTCATTGAGTCAGCACGGATAAGATCTTGGAGAGGCTACGGCTGCTGTGAATACTCAGAATAAGATCTCTGACTGCAGACTGGATACACCTCGGAAGGTTTAGCTCGGAATAACATCTCTGGGCGTAAATTGGATGACATCTCGGGGAGGCACACTGCCGTGAGTTCTCAGAATCGGCTCCTTGACCACAAGAAATGACAACATCACAGAACGCAAGTATGGCGAAGCTCGCGGCTCTCCAACGGGAGATTGAGAGACCAGTGTTGGACTGTAGAACTGCTTTGAAATTCATATGAGCTGTTTGCACTAAAGTAAAAAGCACCATCACTTCATGCGGATACCCTCTCTACATGCACACACACACACATACACTGATATGCACACACTCATCCCCCTCCCTTTCCAAACTCCTTCGACGCTTATTCCCCTCCGATGCTGACGGTGGATCAAGGAGACCAGCGCACGCAGGCCCGGATGTGCTGTCTAATTCAGCCGTCTCTCACCCTTTACCCCCCTGTTGCTTGTCATGTGTTTCTTTGGTGTATTAAGAGTTTTTCATGTGCATTGGTGTTTTTTTTTCTGATCTCAAACTGATCTCCCTGTTGGAGCTCAGTCTGGGGGGAGTTATTTTTTCTCCTTATCTTTCCTCATGTGGTGCATTTTCCATTGTTATACCTCTCTGACCTGTCTTCCCCATGTGATGTTTGTGTAATGTATGTATGGTCGGAGGGTAAGATGGCGACGCCATTGTGTGCAATAGGTCGGCAGCCTTATGAAATTTCCCCTTGTGGGACTAATAAAGGTATATCAAATCAAATCAACTCTGTTCAGCTGGTTCTACCTTTTGAGGATTAAACTGCAACTGCTGTCTGTCATTAACGTGCTCCAAACTGGTCTGTGGATGCTGCACTATTAAATCTCCACCATATTGTGGAGCTGAATTCTTTGCTGTTGAGATCAGTGGGGTTTGGTGACCAGTGGCTTGGTCCTTTATGACCTGAAGGTCAGCCATCATCTTCTCTAACATGCTCAGGACGGGCTTGGTGACCATAGAGTTGTTAGTTTCTTGTTCAATTCCCGTCCATGGAGGAGGATCAGGCCATTTGTCATCACTGTCCTGTTTCCCCTCAGCAGGAGAAGGCAGTGGTGCATACATACTCTGGTCTGCATGATGAATCAGAGGTAAACATCCTTATCCAGCTTGAAGGACCAAGTTTTGTAGGTGAGGCTTAAGAACTGTGGTTTACACTGGTGGCTGGTTGACGCTTGCCCCTGAGTGTTGGTCAGACTTGCTGTCCCTCAGTGGTCATTTATTGCAGGACTGTAAGCAGATAGGTGTAGGTGTATGTGGTCCTATAAATCAATCAAAGAACATTACAATGATGTCAGTTCACTGATTAAGGTATCTGTAATTTATTTCTACGAGCAATACAGCAAAGTGGAGCAAATATACACACATATAACAATATTTGTCACATAGATACACCACAGAAATTTAAATAATAATAATAATAATAATTTAAAATTTTAAATAAGTAGGAATGCCTTCTCTGATACGCCAGTGCTGAATAACCAGAGTTAAAATAATGAGAAATGCTCCTAAACTTAAGTGTCTCTTTAAATAAAGTCTGCTGTGTGTTAGGTGGGTGCAAATTAATACTTGATGCATTTTTCATATAATGAAAAAGCTCTTTACAAGTAAGCACTGCTCAATGCCTGCAGAAACTAGCACACAGAAATTGCATGTGTCCCAGAATAAGTTAGGAGTGCACACAGAAACAGAGTAATGGTACAACAAATATAGAAAAAACGAGCAATCACTGACAAATGATGAGAAAAGCAGTTCAGCTGCTCTTTAAAGCAAGTGGTTGCTCGCAAATGGAATTTAACTGTAACTTGTAACAAAGATGCCAAACAGGCACATTACCAGACAAAGGTTTAGGTTTGGAAAGAACCAGCAGACTGGGAGCTGTGATGCCAAGTCAAAAAAAGGCTAATATTCAATCATTTGTATGCTGTAAGGAAACAGGGTGAAAAACTCAGTGTCAGTCTGAAAGAGAGAGGGGGGAATATTGCATAAAATTCACTCTAAGACGTAAAACCCAACAACTCATCCAAGCCTTTGATATATCAGTGATACCTGTTTTACCTTATGCCTGTTCTGCACTGTGATTGGTTGGTTGTGTCCTGTGAAAAAAAACAGCGGAGATCTAAGGGCTCAAATCATTTATTGAGGTCCGTGGTTACAGGAAGCAGGATGTATGATCTCAACATGTCCAGCAGGCGGAGCTGCAACATCAAAATGCGTATTGTGTTGTTTTCCTATCATCTAATGGCTTGTGCCATTATTAAGTTTTCCTTATTGGTATTGTTGTGTGACATTATACAAGGTTTTAAACTGAAACGAGACTAAACTAAATTTGAAGCATTTTTGTATTTAATACAATATCAGCATTTTCACTTTTTTTGCTGTGCGACTTTATAAAGGTCTTTTAGTTCTCTTGGTTTATCAAAGTAAGTCTACAAAATACAATTTGTTAAATATTTGTTTCTAAAAATAAACTGTACACCCCTGGCCTTTTTTAAAATAATTAAATATTATTTAAAATGGGTTTACTGTTTTGATAAATACATAAACACAGATAATTAGAAGGATTTTTCTAAAGCAACTATAACCTAAAAAAATGTAGACACTTTGCCAGCAGAGTGTACGCCAAAAACTTTGATTTTTCTTTTTTCCTTTCTGAAACTTTTGAAATCTTTAGCCCCTGTCAGCAAACGCCCATTTCTGGCGAACACTTTCACTTTCATCGGTGTTGGCGTGATAGTGAACTCGGCTGTTGAATCAAAGAAAAAGAAACTTTATAAAGATAAAGTATAAATGTATGGACGGAGAGCCGAATGCAGCGGTAATACATCGGTGATAATGACTGATTGTAGGATTGATGATGGGCCGCGATAAAGAAACTTAGAAGACAAACAGCCTATTCAATATTAGGTGAGTTCGTGTTTAGGACATTGTTGGTGATTAAATGATGGCTGGGCTGCAAAATGCTTCATCAGTGGCTTTATTTCAAATTGCAGAAATACTCTGGCCCACCGTAAACTCCAGATTTGAACACATTTCTGTCTCAGTTGCGGCTCATTTGAGGCGGAACAATGCCGTGCATGTGCGAAGGAGCTAAACTGAACAGTTTTTGGCTTAATAACAAAACAATCTTATTAAACTTTAGTCCAATTTGAAAAATACTAGAATTTGCTTCGGTGTGACTCTTATTTGGTCTTTTATTTGTAACGGATTAGTTTAATTCAGCATTCCGCCATTTCACGTCTGTTTGAACAGAAACAGGAAGAAGAAGATATAAAAAAAAGAAGGCAAACGTTTCTATTTGTTCTGTTGTTGCTCCAGAACCTGTTTCAGATTTCAAAAGCAGCAATTTTTCAAATTTCCCATTGCTTTGCTAATTACAGATGAATTGGACTAACTGCACACTTTTGTTTTGTATGGCGGTGATGAAATGTTACAGGGCAAAGCTTTCTGAGAAATCCTCCAGATCGACACACACAGTGCTGGCATACGTAAGCATTCATTTGTATTGCTTTAACACTTAATATTCATAATAAATCGTGGCTATCAACGAACTGAAATACTTCATTGTTATTTCCAGATAAATCTATGATGTTTTCAGCAGAGTACATGATGGCAGCTGCAGGAGCTGGTGAGTGCAATCATTCTTTAAAGCACTGTCATGTCTTTAGGTCTGATTCCCGGCTGGATGCCAACATTCATATCAATTATTGTGTTCTATTTAGAATCTCCACTGAAATTTTTTTAAGTGCACTGTTGGAAACCAGACAAAGCATCCAAGATATGGGTTCAAATCATTTTTTTTATATTTGGCCAAACAGTTATTGTTTTTCTTCCCCATCTGCTCATTTAAACACCTCATTTATCCTGGTCTTGTACAATCTTTCGGTCTTCTATCTCTCCATCCTCCTCACTTTTTCTTTGGGTTGACAATCACAAACAAACATATTAAGCTAGAAAATAACATAAATCAATCTAATTTATTATAACAGAAGGCTGGGGATCCACATTTGATAACAGTACAACATAGGGTTGCCAGCTTCCTGAGAAATAAATAAGGGACACCTCGTGGCCAGGGCCGGGCGACCCAGTTGTCTTCACCCTTCCCAGTGTGGTGAATTTTTTAGCTCTTTTTTTGTGCGTGGAATTATTTTTTTAACCATTTGACTTGAAGTTGATTTAAGTACATGCATATTCTTTGTGATATGAACACATGGGAAATAAATGATCATTTAGCCATTTATTTTTAGCGCAAAATGACAACATTAACACAATAAAACAGGTCTTTCTTAAACAGAAGCCTGTCATGCTTAACTTTTGAGAATAAAAGTAAATCTTTCTTTAAAAGAACTCTGTCCTGCTTAACTTAAAATTATATAAATTAATAGAAAACAATAGAAAGAAAAACATTCTTGTAACAGTGCACATTTAGTGTAATTGGCTTCAGTTGAGGTATTATTTCAGCTTTTCTTGTCACGACTGGGGCAGCAGCCGTGTGAAGTGTGGAGAAGGAGGACTCGAATGCAGCACTTACTTGAGAAGCAGGGAGGTTTATTATATAAGACAGAACACAGAAGTGGGGATGGCAAAACAGAACTGAGGATAAACTAAACTAAACTAAACTATAGAACGGCAAACCTGAAACACGAGAGGAGAACTGCAGGGAGAGCACATAGCGGACACGGAGAGGTTCGCGGATTATTGTAGGAACGCAGGGAAACACAGAGGATGAACACAGACGACGCGACGAGGAACTGAGGGAAACACACACTATAAATACACAGAGGGACACTGGGAAATCACACACAGGTGAGACACAGCTGGACCTGATTAACCTGACGAGACAGGGGAACACTAACACCAGGGACCAACAGAGGGAGCACAAACCAGAAACCCAGTATCTAAAATCCCAAAACACAAACCATCCCAAAACAGCCCACAAATAATAATGAAAATAATAACAATAAATACACCAAACACAAAATCACTGAGTCATGGACTCAGGATCATGACATTTCTAATGCTAATCAGCTGCTCCTGTTTGTAAACCCACTTGTTCCCATGATTACGCATTATAACTCATCATCATTATTCATCTATGTATTACTTTTATGTATTACTCATCTATTCGTTGTAATCATCTATCCTCGCAGTTGTTTATTACACAAAATAAATTATATTATCACACTTCTGGCCACATAGCGCTGATATATTTTCCACTATCCTACTGTATATTACTGTATACTTGTATTCTATTGTAAATATTGTATATCTTATTACTCTGTTCCTCTGTCTCTCTTGCTGCACTGAGCATGTGTATGACAAAAGAATTTCCCTTGGGATAAATAAAGTTCTTCTTATCTTATCTTATCTTATCTTATCTTATCTTATCTTATCTTATCTTATCTTATATTCATTGCACATGGGACAAAGTGCGTCCCTTTTCAGCTCAATACGGGACGTGTACTTTTGTTTCTAAATACGGGACGATTCCGTTTTTTAAGGGACGGTTGGCAACCCTAGTACAACACACTGCTGAGCTATGTAAAATGATCATCATCAGTGAATATAGGTACACTGACTTTCTTGCTGACTTGGACTACATGTCCACTCTTATCTGTTTCTTTTTCTCTCCGTCTCTCATCATCTCTCAGTCTTTGTGCTGTCAGCCAAAAGCTAAATGTAACATTAAAACAGAATTTACAGACTAATAAAAACTCTAATTGAATGGGAGCTGCTGCTGACAGGTAACATTTTAAGTTAATATAATATACGGTGCTGAAATACATAATTATTACTTTGATACTACAGTTATTTAAGAGGTCAGCAAACATCAGCAAACACACAAAGCGTTTGTGTGCAGTTTGTCTCACAGTGTGTTGCAGCTAAAGGTTCAGCTGCTGTATGTCACAGGGAGAGAAAAGAAAGAGAGCTAACTTCACTCAGAGATGGAAGCAGAGAGCTTAGATTAACATATACAAATATTATTTTATTACTGTATTAATATTGCACAAAGTTAAGTTGCCTTTGTACAGAAAGGGTTAGCAGAATTGCCCTTTAAAGAGCTACTTTTTATTTATTTACTTTGAGTACATTTCAGAGACTTTACTTTTTTACTTGAGTCAAGAAGTTGCTTCAGTACTTCAACTGGAGTATTTCTTACCCCAGGTATCAGTACTTCTACTTAAGTAAAGAAAGTCTGTACTTTTGTCACTTGTGGAATTAGAACCTCCAAGTCTGAGGTTCTCAGCAGGAAAAGGTTGGAATGGCCATTCCACTCAGCTACCAGCCCTTGGTGTGGCAACTACTATTCCTAGTGGGTAGTAGTTCCCACGCTGGGGATGAGGGCAGCAGGAGATTGGTAGACAGATTGGTGCATCATTGCAAATCCTGTACTGGTCCAGTGGAGTAAAAAGAACTGAGAATAAAAGCAAAGCTGTCAATTTACTGGTAGATCTACATTGGTGGAAATTTGTTTTTTTTTCTGAAGTGTAGCTGGACTCAACCTTAGAGAGAGCGACAAATTCATTCATTTGGGAGGGACATATCAAAAAGATCCAGTTGACATGGTTTTGGCTATCTGATTAGGATGCCTCATGGACAGAGTGTTCCAGGCATGTTCCACCATGAGGAGGCTGCGGGGTAGACTGAGGGCATAATGGAGAGATTATATCTCTCAGCTGGGAACATCTTGAAGTTGCCCCAATTGTGCTGGCGGAGAGGAATGAGCGTCTCTTGCTCTTAGCCTCTGCCCCCCTGTAATTCACCCCAGGTAAACAAAAGAAAATAATTAAAAGAAAATAAATCAGTGATCAACCTGAGTTCGAATAAGACTATTTTACACATCATGAATAAAAGTGGAAAAAAAAGTCGGGCCACAGACATGGTGGCACAAAGAAATCTAAGCAAGCATGGAAGCATGGAAATATTCCTTATTCCTTGTGGAGGCTGCTCAAGGTTATTGTACATTAGAATTTTTACATTAAAAAATACTAATTATTTTTCATATTTTCTTCTCAAAGTCACAGATTTCACAAATGAGAAACCACTGACACGCAGTTCCAGCTATGAATATCTGCCACCATACAGTAAGTCTTTGTAATATATATATATGGACACACACACACACGCACCTCAGTGTTGATAGGATTTAGGACAGGACCACCCAGAGTTTAGACACTGGTGGTGGTGGAGATGAAGACTGAGCCTCGGATGGAGCTCTGACTGAGGTGTCTGTGAGGTGGAGATGGGGAGGGGGTGGGTTGCATGAATAAGAGAATGAGAAGGAGAGTGATGGAGAGCACAGATTTAAATCTCACAAAGTGGAGGCTGATTGGCCCAAAGTATTAATATGTCAGTATTGAGTTTGTTAGCTTGGGGAGGTGGTAGTGATGTAAAGAGCAGACAAGCACCCTAAAACTCAGGAAAGCAGGCAGTGGCTGTTTACAGATCTTTTTTATTTAATTTGTGCATAAGCTTGATTTCTGTCATTCATTTCATGTCTGCGGTTAAGCAAAACATCTGCATGTAAACCTGAGTTTGTCTTTTTACTTTTTTTTTTTCTTTTCAGTGTCTGAGCTCAGGGTGGTTCTCCTGGGGAACAGCTGGGCAGTGAGGGGAGCAGTGGGGAACATGATACTAAAAAAGGACAAGTTCAATACTGAAAAAGTACCAGACTGGTGTTTCAAAGTCAGTACACCCTTTAAGGAAAAACAAATAACGGTCATTAATACTCCAGACCTGTTGCTGCCCAACACCTCTGAAGACAAACTGAGAGAAGATGTAAAACGATGTGTGAAACTCTCTGCTCCTGGTCCTCATGTGTTCCTGCTGGTTCTACAGCCTGATGATTTCACAGAGGAACAAAAACAGAAGCTCTGCAGAGTCCTTGAAGAATTCAGTGATTACTCATTTGATCATTCATTGGTTCTGAAATCAGCTCCCAGAGAAAAGTGCATGAAAGAAGATGTATTAAATCAAGCCTTAAACAACATCATCAAAAAAAGTAAATACAGACATTTGAATTTGAAGAACCTTGACTATTCAGAGCTGTTAACACGGATGGGTCAGATTGCAAAAGAGAACAATGGACACTTGAGCTGTGATGTATTTCAGGATCCAATGCCAGATCTGACTCCTTATCAGGAAAGCCACAACCAAAAGCTTGCTAGTGTTAAATTTGAACCTACAAAAGGTAATGGTAAGTACTGAATAGTAATATGGTAAAAAATATTATTTTTATCATTATATGAATCACACAGTCGGATTTTTGTCGAAATTAGGGTAATGCATCATGAAGAGGTTAAAGCTCCCACCAGAGTTAAGAACTATGTCTTCATAATCTACATTTATGTGTTAGTGTTACACATAAACTGTACACAGATTGCACTGTTTTTGGTTACTGTCATGGTTAGTGCTGTGTGGCCGGCAGGATATAGGACCCAAATGCAAGACACTCAGACGGGGAATAAACTCAAGATGAACACAGCTGGGAGTAATCAAACATGACGAGATCAGGTTGAAGCAAAACTAGGAACACTGTTGGGAGACAGGGCACCGTAAAGTAAAACGGGAAGACTAACACAGAGACGCGGACTTGACATTAAATTTAGGTAACACGGAGACGGGAGTGACATAAGACCAGTGTTGGGCAAGTTACTTTGAAAAAGTAATTAATTATAGTTACTAGTTATTTCTTCAAAAAGGTAACTGAGTTAGTAACTGAGTTACAATATTCTAAAAGTAATTAATTACTTGAAAAGTAACTATTGCGTTACTTTAAAAAAACGTTTAACCCTCTGGGGTCCAGGGTATAATTGCTCATTTTTGACTACTTTTGATGTTTCCTCCACATTTTACCTTTAAAAACTATTTATTTGCCTTGTTTGGTGTCATTCTGTTCAGCACAACCTCACGTGTCTGAATTTACAGTTATGTTTTCATTTTGACAAACTGTACTAACACAACTGATCTAAAATCAGACAAAAAACATAAAATCAGAGTAGAAAAAGTTATATTTTTTACTGTAACAACCACAAACATGTTTAATGAATCATATTTCATAACAAATATAAATTGTCAATTTTAAAATCATACGCACAAGTTTTGCAAACAACAAAGTTATTTGCAGCCATTCACCTTTTACCTTGATTTTTTAAAATAACCATTCCAAACTATTTACAGAACAATCAGCTGTTCTTCAATAAGATGCCACAAATTATTTGTGCCACTCCAAATATTTCTGTCCACTATAAAGAACATCACGGCCTGATACCTGCAGGTCTGACAGCAGCAGGTTTATCACTCCTGTTTCTACCTGGAGACAGCAGTCGACTCATTGTTCTGACACACAACACAAAACTATCCACAACACTACACACTAACTACACAAGACATCACATTAACTACACACTCCAAACACGCTAAACGTCACAAATCTCTCACATCTCAAAACTCGCTCTCTCTCTTTTTCTGCTGTCTTTGAGCGATCGTGGCTCAAGAGTTCGTCTTGTAATCAGAAGGTTGCCAGTTCGAGCCCCGGCTCGGACAGTCTTTGTCGTTGTGTCCAAGACACTTCACCTGCCGCCTGCTGGTGATGG